AAAATGAGCTTCTTACAGATTATCGAAAGATTCGTTAGAATGCGATTACATTACATGATAATTATATTATCATCACAAAATTTACTTGTTTCACCATGTTATGACAATGCTCCAATCAAAACATATCTATAGCAAAACACCACAACAAATTTACAATTACAGGCATAAATAAAAAATTAAAAAATATATAGAACTGAGTGGTGTACCGTGTACGCCCCATTCCCAAATTATCCTTCATTTTCCTTTTCCTTCCCGACCATTCTGCCCGACCAATTTTCCCCACCATTGGTTCAATAATATGAAACAAGTCCAACTTTTTCTTAAGACAAATTCAAAGATGTTAACGGGAACGACGATGACGGTGACTAAATTTCCAGGATAACAACATTCTTGGATTCCAATGGTTTGTCATTGTAGGTTCTCTCCTTCAATGGATTGATTCCTCAAAAAGTGGGATTGATGTCTAGCATTGTGAACCTTCAATCTGAATTCCACTTTATTAAATAATATTCTTAAGGGAAAATTACCTAAAACCTTACATCTTAAGTGTAATATTCAAAAATAAAGAGGATTAATTTTAAATTCATAAGTCATGTGACAATTAAGAATTATTAAATTAATTAATACCTCTGCTACTCCCCACCACGACACCCTCACCCATCTCCTTTATGCATATATACAAATAAATCACTCTCACTTTCTCTTTCTTCTTCGAATAAACCACTCTCATTTTCTCTCCCTATATCTCTCTAATTTAAGTTCTTCTTTAGCCATTTATATAATTCTCTCTCTATAATGAACAAAAACATAATGAAGTAAATTTCCTATCTCTAACTATTTATCCATCTCATCAGCGGCATCAATCAAATCTATTTTCTTAGTTCTTCTCATTTGTACATATTTGAATCGATGGGGTTGGTTGGGCTTCCAGTTACGGGCTATTTCACTTAGATTTGAATCGGAGGTTGAGGTGGAGGTGGAGGTGGAAGTGATGGTGGTGATGATTGTTGTTGCGGATTTGAGGTGGAAGTGAGAATTTAAGTTGAAGGTGGTAATGGTGGTGCATTGAAGGTGATGGTAGTGGATTGTGGTGTTGGTCGACGGTGTGTGTGAATTGTTTGTGGTGACTCTCTGTGACCAAATTTGTGTTAATTGTAATCGGTTGTGACCAAGTTCGTGTTCACTATGACCGTTTGTGACTATATATGACCAATTAAGGGTGGCTTGGTCACGTATCGTCATAATTAAGATTGACATGGTCAAAGACAATTACAATGAAGACAAACTTAATCACAATTTGTCACAGATAATACAAGTCTGGTCATAAACAATAACAACTTATACAAACATGGTCACAAACAATAACAACTTACATACATCTAATCACAAATAGTTACTATTAAACACAATTTGGTCATAGCAATGGAAGTACAAATAATTTGGCATGATCAAACAAAATTGATGTAAACAATGGTGTTTCTGGGCATAATGAGTTTAGAAATGAAATGGAGTTTTTACGGACTTCTAATATGAGAAATGGGATTCAGGAACCAGTGAAACAGTTCGTAATGATTTGAATACAGGGGTTGTGCATTTGGAAAATATTAAAAACGAGGGTAATCCGAATAATCCGAGGAAAAGAAAGTTCAATAGTCAATTTCAGAATGTGTCGTATGAGAATTGATGGTCATGGTGGCCGAAGTGGTGGCCAGTGGCGGTGACGATGGCCGACATCAACTAATTTTCTGGTTTTTATTTATAGAGAGAGAGAAAGAAAGTTTGTATTTGGGGAGAGAGAGAGAGAGAGTTGTATATTATATATTATTATATTGTATTTACCACTTGATTTTTGATACTGATTGTTAGTTATGAGTATGATTCTTGTAGTGTAACAATTATGTGTTTTTCCCTATTCTTAGCCCAAAATTCAGAAGTACAACAATTGTCAAATTCATTGACATTAGTTCATGTTTGGCCCCTATTTTCAAAAGGGAAAATTACAGTCGTGGTTCCAAACCTTTTCGTTTTTTACAGACTGTACATCAACCTTCACTTTGTGCCAACACAGGTCCCAAACCTTTTAGAAATATGCAGCAGCGGTCCAAATGGATGGAGTCAATCTAAAAAATTAAAAAATTGGATATTCTGACCATTTTAAGGAGGGGCATTTCCGTCCATACAATAATTTCCCTTTTAAAAAAATAAATAAAAGAAAAAAAATCATCTTCTTCAAACACCCCACCCCCAATCACCCACCCCACTCCCACCCTTCCCCAACACCAAAATCCTGTCGCCCATTGCCACTGTGGCAGCCGCAAATGCCACCACCATGGCCCCATCTCAAACAACAATTTTTTTTCTAATTGCTTGAAACAAACAACATTTTCCAAGTCAAAAATAGTGGAATGAACCTAGCAACTTGGAGAAGGTAAATTGAACTCGTCAAAATGGAAAATGGATACGCCTTGTTGAGGAGGTTAGGTAGTGGGTGGACTGCGATCTTAACTTCCACTGTCTGCTCCAGAAAATGGTTTAGAAAGCTGCGTTCTCGCTGGGTTCAAAAAATGGACATGTAGATTCTGATTTGTTGCATTATTTGATGTTAAAAGACATGGACAGGGACGCCCTCACGAGTAGAATCCTCCTATGACATGGGTAATCTGTGGGCATCACCGAATGAGGTTGTGCCGCCAATATTTGTGTACACAAGTAGGTGGTTTTGAGGTGTAAATCCGGCCAGCTCAGGAAGTGTTGATGCCCAATGTTGGGTGGTTTGAGTAGAGGGCAGTGAGAGCTTCTAGTTGTCTGGTGGTTTGGGTGGTGGTTGACCAGAGTAGAGTGACTGGCGATGGCGGTGGCAAGTCGGGGTGGTGGGTGGGGTGAAGAAAAGAGATAATGAACAGTTTTATTTTTATTTTTATTTGTTTATTTTAATATGGTAAATAGCAAAATTACCATTTTATCAATTTTAAATTGATCAAAATCAACTCATTTGGTCAACTAACGATCTTTCCATCTATGTAGACATATATTGCATATTTTTAAAGGTTTGGGACATGTGGTGGCACAAAGTGAAGGTTGGGGGAAAGTCTGCAAAAAACGAAAATGTTAGGGATCGCTGCTGTAATTTTCCCTTTTAAAAATTAATTTTTCTCACAAAATTCATTTTAAACCACGTTTTTCGTAGGAACCACATTTTTTATTAACTTTTTAATCACACATTTCATCAAATTTTATCAAAATCCATTAAAAATCTAACTTTTACCTGCACAAAACGGGGGCATATTTACTCGTATCCACAATCGACATTTGCATCTTAATACTAAATAAATTATTCAAGCTTGTTCAACTTCGATTAATCTTTCTATAGGTTGATTATTATTGTTTATTTTAAAGATGGTGAAGTCAGTCATATTAGTTGCAGAGGTGCTCTCCTCATCATTGACAAAGATT